TGTCATCCGTGGAGCATAGTTATGTTCATAGGAACGAATGAAGATGTTTTATACAGAGTCAGGCCATCTAGGTCAGTATTGTCTACACTGACTGACAGCTCCTCTCCAGGATTTCAGGCAGGGTTTTCTCCCAGCCATACCTGGAAATGCTGGGGATTGAACCTGGTGCCTTCTGCATGTAACCAGAAGTTTCTGGACGACAGCTCCCATCACCCCAGACCATTGATGATGCTTGTTGGGTCTGATGGGAGTCCAGCAACACTTCTGAGGTATAGTATTTCAGTCTCACTGTAATGGGATAGCATGGTAAGTACCAGCAGTTATATTAAATGGGAATGACTCCTCCAAGGAAGGACAGCAAGACAGCACACAGGTAAGGAAAATAAGAGCAAGGCTAAGGAAAGCCATTTGAGGCCCCCTCTGTGCTCTTCCTTTGGCTGCAAGAACTCTGGTGGTAAGGAATCTCTAGAACCTGCGTATGAGCAAAACCCTGTATGTGTGTGCATGTGTATGTATTTATGTTAGTTTGGCTGGTGACAACGTACTGCGAGTTATTTGTTCTTTTCATTTCAATGCTCCTCGAGGAACTGCCTTTTCGATGTTTATATTCAGTCCCATAGACTACTTCATTAACATTTATGGTAGAGTAGGCAGGCACAATAGACAGTGATATTTGCACATGAATACATGGGTGTGCATGTAGACACTCGTGCACAGAGTTAGGAGACCCACATCAGGATGCTTTCTTTGCCCCCAAACATTTAAACCAAAGAGGCCAATGAATCTTAAAACTTGTTGGTAAGATGACTGATTTCAACCTTACCATTTTTTTTAAAGCTCATTCCATTTCAATTGCTTGGCACACAAATGGATAGAATGGCACATCCAATTGTGTGACTGGGAGTTTTCTGTCTGGCACACAAACATGTGCCCCTAAGATCATTATCTTTGGGGGTAATTTATACTTCCTTTTGGTCTTATTTTCTTTTTCACCTGTCCCTTGGAACACTGCCACTATGGTACATGCTCTTCTTCTTCTTCTTGCTTCCAGGGTAGCTCTTTGTTAACCAAACCCACACACCAAGTTTTCTGATGTGCAACAAGGCCCATTTCCCCAAGAGTGGACTTTTTTGAGATAAGGAAAGTGGCAGGAAAATGCGGTGGAAAGAGTAGGATAGCACTTACTTAAATGCAATGTCATTGACAATCACTGCAAACAAATCAGAGTGAATACTCATTAAAATGCCAACCTTCTCGAGCCTCCCTGCAAAATAAATCAGGATGAATGCTGTATACACAGGCCATGTGGAAGCATCCAGAGACATGCTTTGGTGGGATTACATTCAATAGTTACCTTTGCTAAGAACAACCAACAGACCTGCTGTCTTTCCCTTATCTGGCTGGGCAGAATCCAGGGCAGGAATCTTGGAGGCCACCCCAAAGGACATATAATGTTCCCAAAGCTGAAAGCTCCCCTGACAATGGTAGCAGTTCCAACCCTCACTAACACCTTCGTCGTTAATCTATGGCTAAAGCACAATTCTCATTATTCTGCTTTCTGCTATACGCTAATCTTCCTGCCTCTTATTTGTACTCACTCATAAAAATTAAGTAATGAGCAACCAAAAAGAAAAGGGGGGGGGAGCCTAACGACCAGCTGCCATCTCATCAAAAGGATTTAAAAATAGAAAGTGTCTCCAGGAGTTCAGCTTCCTTCTAGGGCAACGTGCACCATCCCCCCCCCTCATTATTTAATGCCAACTATCTATGAGTGGGGAAAAGGCTGCAAGGTGTTTCTTACTTTTATTTCATTTTGACAGTCCACCTGGGCTGGCTACTCCAGCCTCTTCTTCTTCTGCTTCTTCTATTAGACTTTGTTTCCGTGGAAACAGTTGTGATGTAATGCTGAGAAAGGTGATGTTGAGCAGGAACTTACAGCAGGTGATCACAGATGAAAAACAGCTCTCCCCCCCCTCCACCCGCTGCAGATGTCTTCCAGAGAGCAAAAACAACAGCCACTAAAACAAAAGAGAACAACAAAGCCTGGTGATAAAGAAGAAAGTAGTGACAGATAAATCTAAAATGATTTAAAATCAGCTCTTTGCAAATAATATTCCACAAACAGCCAGAAAGCCTTTGAAGGCAGAATAATCCTTTCTCTCTTCTCCCTCACCCCAGGGCTATTAGTTTTGAATTTCTGTTGTTTGTGAATGCATTTATGCTCTAGAAAGCAACGGTAGCTGGCATATTTATTTATTTTCCCCAGTATCTTTTGAGAGCAAAACCCCTGATCCTAAAGCATGGGATTGCTGCCACGCTGAAAGAAAGAACCTGGAGTCATGTGGACATGTGCAAAGGTGCAACTAGGTGCCAATGTGCTATTTATTTATTTATCCGCTGAATGTCAGCCTGCCGTTGCTTATCAAAGTCAAAGAAGTCACACAGTTTTGTTTCCAACCAGAAAAGCAGAGCTGGCTGAACACGGAAGAATGGTTGTAAAATCTCCACATCATTCTCCTTTTTTGCTACCTGCCACCAATGTAAAAATTTGGCCCCAGCTGCATTATGAATGTATTTTATATGGAATACCGAGAAGGAGCATGGTTTCCAAAGTATCACATCTAACAGTGGCCCAGCAAAGGATGAAAGTGGGAGCCAGATTGTGGGGTGGCCTGGATGCTGCCATGACTGGTAGTTGATTGCCCTGTCTGGGATCTTAGTGGGCTTCCTCCTCTCATGGGGGCCGGCAGGATCTTTAAAAGGGCCATTCAGATCCACCATCACTAGTTCTCACCAGCCTGAAAGTGATGTTTCCAACATGTCCCTGAGGTGGTTAGCATGGCTGCAGAGACCTCAAGAGTGGAGACCACATATAGGCACCTGGGCAGCAAATTAATCGGCTTTGTGGCAACGTAGGGTGGTCTCAGGATTAGCCACCCATCAATAACGGCAAAACCGCTTGAACTTCTGCTTTGAGGGGGTTCACCTCTCAGAGGCACGCAATGGCATGTGGCTAGAAGATCTGTGCTTCAGAGTGCTAGACTGGTTGCAGTGTTAGGAGTGGCCAGTAGCGAGCTTTTGACAGCTCACCCACTCTTGTGGCAGAAATGTCATTGGGTAGGATCTAAACATAAAGGGGACCCTCAAGTAAACCAGTTCTCAGTCCAAGCTGAGGTGGGCCGGGCCTGATGCCACTCATGTCAGGTTATCAGCGGGATTCCAGGAGCATAATATAGACCATGGTCCTTATATGCTAGTCAGCTCCCATGGGATTCTCCAGCAGGAGTGCTGGGATGATGTAATGGGCTTCAGATTGAATATTGTAGGGGACTAGTGGATTCTGGCCCGATGCCATGCCAACCCTGCTTTCCACACTATAGTCAATAAACATTTTGGCCTGTTTTTCACCCACAGCTGTGCCCTGGGTGTTATTAATCCCCTACATGGCATGTAGGGAAGCATCCCCAATGCACTTGCCAGGTTGTTGCAGTTATGTAAGGAGCCCTGTATGCTGAAACCAATTACAAATCTTATATGTCCCTTCATAATAGAGACAACCAAACTCTGCTTCCATTCATCCCAATTGATTCCACTGACTTCAAATGTTTTGCTTTGTTTGTTTTCTTGCTTGTGTGGCTTGAATTCTCACACCTTTAGTCCCAAGGGGCCTTCTTTCAAAACACATTTGCTAAATATCTGCTTTTTCAAATGAAAAATGAAGGAGAAAATTTGAATTTCTTTGCCCTTAAAATGCCCAAGCCAGATCTGCTGCCTTTTTCACTGATGGCAGGATGGATTTTCATTCTTGGCAGGATGCTGTTTACCTTTATCCTAACTTGCCCAATTAACCACTGAAGTAGATCCAGGACTAATGCATTTACTACATGAACGACACAATTAATTCCAAATATATTTCTATAAATGGGAGTCTTCCACTTTGAGCATTCAAATCTAGGCACTGTGCCAAGAAACCATCTATCTAGAGCCACTTCTTGGTGTTTGTGTGCCAGTAAAGCTATGTTCAGTCTGCTATCCTTGATCACTTCTTGGACAGAGATGACATCTCACTCGAAGCCACCTTTAAAACACAATGTACTGCAAAGTCTTGATTCAGCTTTCCATTAGAATCAGCACCTTCTGCTAGCTTACTTGTAGCCTAGGCTTTTAACTTCTATTGATGCTGCTTGAGCATTATGTGCCTCATTTATATCTGTGGTCTGGGGTGTTTGATGCACCCCTTGAACCACAAGTGATTCCCTGATCTCCGTTCTACAAGGACTTCCATTTGCAAGCAATAAGCATTTATTGAGAATGGAGAGCCAGAAAGAATTGCAAGCCTGGCTTTCCTTCAGGAGCATTGTCTACCCAAGGATCTATGCTTGGTACTTCATTACACAGAAAGAAAGCACCTAAAAAGTCCCAATTAACAAAGGAAAAGGAGGAGTTTGGACTGATTATTATGGAGATGGTAATATCTGTAGCCAGGCTGTTCAGTATAAGGGTAATGTTGGGATGGCTGGGGGCTCATATATGCTTGACCTCGTCTGGAGATGTGTTTGCAGAACTCAACCTGGTGTGTATGATCACTGGGAAAAATAGAAGAGTTGTTTACTTTCCATGGGGAATAGGTTCCTTCTCCCCTCCCCTCAAAGCAGAAACATTGTCATTTCAGTTTCTTACTGACTTATCCACTGGTTTTATGATCCTTTAGCACTACAGTGAAGTTTGCTGATGTAAAGTAAGAGGGAACATTTAGTCTTCCCTCTGAAACTATGTGGGGCTGAGATAGGTAAGGAATATCTTAGAGAGAAGGGAATAACAATCCCCATTCAGCTTTAAGTGGGCAAGGCATGCAAATGTAATTTGTACCACCTTTTAACGAATTAGCTTTTGCACCATCATCACACCAAGATGATTTCAGTGACTTTTCCAACCAGGCAGGCTTTTACTGTGCAACAGATGTGGCCTTAAAATTTGCTTCTACTTGCCACTGTCCCCAGGTAAAGGACCTGAGACGCTTTATGCTGGGCAGAAACTCAATGACAATGAATGGCACACAGTCCGTGTGGTACGTCGGGGAAAGAGTCTCAAGCTGACAGTGGATGATGATGTTGCCGAAGGTGAGTGGGTGATTCATCATGGGTTTCTCGTTTTGATTGAGAAGACCTAAGTTACATAACAGTTCTGTCACTTCGCACCTTTGGCCATGCCTTACCCTTAATACTACCTGTTTCCCCAATAATTAGGACAAAGCTTGGACCCAGTAATCCTGTTCCCAGGTGGATGCCAATGTCCCTAACACTATGCTCACAGTGTAATGTGAAGCATAGGAACCCCAAATTATACAAGTAGCTTCCATGAAAAGAGGCATGTGGAACATCTGAGTCACATACATTTATTAGCTTGGTGACAGAGATGCTCACTTCTCCACCATAGTGAACAAGGTAATCAGCTTCGGTAAACATCTGAACCAAGGGCAAAGACTCAGACTAATCCCATTTAACAACAGTGGGGGCAACAGGAAAGGGTACCATGCTTCTGTGCTTATGTTTGTCATACTTCCTTGTTAGGGATGATGATGCTGATGATGATGATAATGATAATTTATTATTTGTACCCCACCCATCAGAGGGGTTACAATGCAGCCAGTGGTGGTTTCCTACTACTGCACCTCTTAATTCATTTGTAGTTCTGACATCCCAGACATGCTCTATTATCTTTTGTAACTGTTCTGAAGTCAGGAAGGAGGCTCAGAATTCCGTAACTATTGGATTGTGCCCCGTAGAATGTTTTCCTGTCATCCAGAAAAGATTTGAAACATAAAGCGGCCAAAATCCAAGTTTGTAAGTGTGCATTTTATTAGCCCAGTGGCAGACTTAAAATTTGTGAAGAAGAGAGTTTAGAGTGAAATGGAGCAGGAGAGAGAAATATGGAATATAAATAGCCATCCTATCATTTCAAAGTATTGAATTTTTGCAGGAATATCTAGTAGAAACGTAAATTACTGGCTTTACATAAGATGATCCTGTGCACCTGTTTAGGACTGCAGTCTTCTACCTCTATGTTGGAAAAGTATCAGTGCTAAGTAGGGTGCAGTTCTGAGGCACAGCCGCTTGATGGCACACACTGCCTTGCACAGCCATGCTTGCTGGGGGGGAAATGTGTGCATGGAATTTAGAGTCCATAATTGTTAGCTTTATGAACGCAAATGTGGAATCCTAAACCACTTTAAATTAATCTTACATATTTAAATATATAAGTTATTATTCATGCAAGTGAGGATATAAATAAACATCTACATGACATAGCCATGGAGGGCATCTGCATAATGATAAATAAACAGATATGCATGTGTAACAAAGCAGTGTCAAAATGGTTTCCTAAAATTTGTTGTGACCTGCTCTGGGTGAATGGTAAGTAAGAAATCCAAACAAAACAAACAAACAAATTTCCCCCTTGCAGAACAGTGTGGATAATATTTTGCTAGGGGAGTGGTGGGAAAAAGAAATATTATTGGGGGGTGGAATTATCCTGTAAAATTTTGGCTCTGCTCTAGCATCCAACAATGAAGCCGTATAGTTTTGTGAGTGTGTGTGTTTGTGTGAATACTGTTGAAGTAATTTAATTAGAGCTTTTCTAGAAGCAAATAATTAAAGACCAGCATAGAGACATGCTATGCCCAAACTGAGAGGTAATTTGCCATCTGAAGTTAATGAGGCTGCTTTATCCATTTGCTTTCTTCTCCCTTACCCCCTGCCACATCACTGAGCAGGACCAAATGATAACCAAAATAACATCAGACAGTAGGGTAAAGCTATTTCTGCTTGCGAAAAGCAGCAGGATGACTCTCGAGCACATTATCATTCTTATGACTTCGTCATCACATTTCTTTCCTCCCTCCCTCCCTCTCTTCATCCCCTTGCCCTTGATAATTTAATTGACAATCCTCAGACTGGGAAGCAGGGAAATTTATTTCTAAAGTGTTTTTGAATTGTTTGCATCTGTAAGATCTGATTCTATATAGCAGAGGCATGTCCAACTTTCAAGACACTGCAATCCACACCCACTATAAAAAAAACTGGCAATGATCTACCCATGAGATTGACCAAAGTTGTAAAGCTGTTGAGCTTTTTTTTTTTAGGGAGCCAAAGTTGTTTTTGGGGTGGTGGTGGTCAGGGTCCCCCAAGTGACCACGATCTACCACGGACCCCCACTATTGATCAGTAGATATTGATCGACCTGTTGGACACCCCTGCTATACAGCAATACAGTGGTGCCTCGCAAGACGAAATTAATTCGTTCCGCGAGTTTTTTCGTCTAGCAAATTTTTCGTCTTGCGAAGCACAGTTTCCCATAGGAATGCATTGAAAATCAATTAATGCGTTCCTATGGTCAAAAAAAGTCCAAACAAAGCCAAATTTGGTACAACAAGAGTTTATTAAGTGCTCTTTAAAGTCACACATACTGTAAAGAGCATTTCAAAATTCAAACCCAGATTTTTTTTAAAAAAACAGCAGAGTGGCCCAATGGTCACAGAAAATCAGAAAAATGCAGAAAAAAACACACACAAGCTTCCAGATTCTTGCAAACCCCTCCCCAACTGTTCCCCCAGCCACCCACCACACAGAAATTCAAACCCAGAATTTTTCTCTTCTTGCGAAGCAAGCCCATAGGGAAATTCGTCTTGCGAAGCAGCTCGAAAAACGGAAAACCCTTTCGTCTAGCGAGTTTTTCGTCTTGCGAGGCATTCGTCTTGCGGGGCACCACTGTAAGTTACTTTAAGTTAGGCTGAGTTTTGTAGGGAGGAGGCAGTCCCAGGGAACTCTTGATCCCTGTCCTTCATTCCAGCGTGGAGCATGGCATGTTCCAAAATGTTAGACGGGTCTTTGGAGAAGTCTGTAACATGGAAGACCATTCATTCATATCCCACCGTTCCAGGAGCTGCACATCCTATTTTGCCTCCCAAAAGGAAAACAGGATGTGCCGCCCTGCTGCCTCTGCCTCCCAATTTCAAGTGAGATCACACTGAAATTGTGCAAGACTTCACACGGCTTTGGGCAGTGGTGGAGGTGGCAGGGCAGGCAAGGTATCTGCCAGAGTGCTGCCTTAGGGGCTTCTGCTGCCTGAGGCAATTCCCTCACCCCACCTAATGGATGTGCTTGCCTTCCTCCAAGGAGAAAAATGGGCTAAATTTTATACTCTCAACAAACCTGTAAGGCGGGCTGAGAAGTAAGCCCTTTTCAAGCATTCAGGTTGAACCCATGAAGGGACCAGCAGGAATGTATGTGGCAAGTCCTGCTCCCTTTATGATGATGCACTCCCTGGCCAAAGATGTGATTGGCCTGTGCTTGAAGGGGGCTGCCTCAGTTGCACATAACATCATTCTGGGTTCCTGTCCCTGAAAAAACGAATTCCTTCAGATTAATGCCAGTTATGCCAGACATCAGTGGGAATGAGGCTTGCTTCACGCTGTCCTGCTTACCCCATCATTCATTCAGATTAAACACCTGAACAGCATTGTAGTGGCTGGCCCAAGGAGCTGTGTGGAGATATGAGCCTAGCCCTACTTTCCCAAAATCCACCAACCAGCTGCTAATCCATTCCTTATCTTCCCTTTGCTTACTGACTCCCCAAAGTCTTGTATTCCATATCTCTTAGTAGCTCAATGTTTGCCCAGCAAGCAACAGTTTGGCAGCTGAAAAATGTCCTTTACAGCCCCGAGTTCAGTCTCTCAGTTGTAGTTGGGAGACATGCCTTAAAGAGAAAGAAACACCCAACCACCCATTCAAGTTCTGCGCTGGTCAAGCTAACTGAACCAGACCATTATGAGCCCAATCTGTAAAGCAGGTACACTTAGCAGAGCAAAAGCTTTCAGCCTTGAATCCTTGATCAGATGGTACACTAAGCCAAACCTTAGTTCAACAATATTATATTATTACAATATATTATTGGGAGTTAAGGTATGCTGTTTTTAAAAGCATGATAACATCACACAGCATACAGTGTAGCACTTCAGCTCAAGTAATAAATAGTGGGTTGTGATGGCAAAACATACACAGGTTTTTCCGATGCTAATTTCAATAATTGGCTGAGCTGTCATTAAGAATATGTCATTTCTAAAGGATTAAAGGAATATTATTGGATATTTGTGGAGGTTAATGTAAATGCAGGAGCACATTATAGATTGGGGCATTCACCACACAAAACATTTTAATTTGTAAACTTGATTTTTTATGCTTATTAAAAATAGTGGCTTTCTGGTTCTGGTAGTTACAGCAGGTGATAGATATATGGAGTGCTGATGAGATTCCATTGCACTTTTAAGCTTGCCCAGGCTTTCATTGAGGTTATCTCTATAACAAGCCCTGGGAGACTTATTTCCAACCTTGTTTGGGTTGTGTGGAATAGGCAACCCAGTACAGTACTCAGGTCTTTCATCCAGTTTGCAAAACTTTTCCCCCACCAAGAGTAAAGGGAAAGAAGATCATTGGCAGCAGTAACATGCACACTACATTATAACTTATTTCCTCCCCTTTAAATGTATTTACATAGCATCTAATAATTTCTTTAAAATCTCTTAAGTGGTGTACAGTACAAAACAAATAATATAATTAAAGCAAAAATACCTCATAAAACTAATAAAGCATTAATATAAGAGCACATGGAAGCATAAAAAACCGCATTAAACACAAATTCAGGGAGTTGAAACACATAAAGCCAGGTCTGATCTTATGTGTTAGGGAAAACCTGGAGAAAAAATATATATCATTTCAAGATGCCTGAAGCAACTGATGGTGGCTGCTTCATGTATGGAAAAGGGAAGGACATTCCATAGTACAGAGGCGAGAACAGAAAATGGTCATTAGTACTGTATTAGAAACCTTAACCAAGAGTACCGTAATACCCTGGAGGCAGGCCTCATATTACCAGTCCTATTAGCTGCAGAACTTTTTTTTCAGCTTTATTTACTGTTTTCTGATCCTCAGGTACTATGGTTGGTGACCACACCCGCTTGGAATTCCACAATATTGAGACTGGGATAATGACAGAGAAGCGTTACATCTCTGTCATTCCCTCCAGCTTCATTGGCCACCTCCAGAGCCTCATGTTCAATGGCCTTCTCTACATTGACTTGTGCAAGAATGGTGACATTGATTACTGTGAACTGAAAGCCCGCTTTGGGCTGCGCAACATCATTGCGGACCCTGTCACCTTCAAGACCAAGAGCAGCTACTTGAGTTTGGCAACTTTGCAGGCCTACACCTCCATGCACCTCTTCTTCCAGTTCAAGACAACCTCTGCTGATGGCTTCATCCTTTTCAACAGTGGTGATGGAAATGATTTCATTGCAGTTGAGCTGGTCAAGGGGTAAGTAAGATATTATGTTGTCTCTGGGAGTAGGTTGGTCAATCCATGTAGGCAATTGTGCCGTCACAAGTGACTATAAATTCATATTCTTCTTTCTCCTGGGAAGGTAAGTTGGGTAAAATATGACCTGTCCTGACGAAGCTTCTTATTCTGCTCTTTGACCATGGACAACTCATTAAGACCATCTGGAATTTGGGTTAGAAAATTAGAGCAGACTGCTGCAGATGTTTTGAATCTTTTTTTGTGTCTTAGCCATGAATTCATTTTCATTCTGGGCTTTCTTCTGAGTAGGCACTTGTGTCATTTGCAGGTATATACACTACGTGTTTGACCTTGGGAACGGACCTAATGTCATCAAAGGCAATAGTGACCGGCCTTTGAATGACAACCAGTGGCACAATGTAGTCATCTCCCGAGACAACAGCAACACCCACAGCCTAAAAGTGGACACCAGGGTTGTTACTCAGGTCATCAATGGTGCCAAAAACCTTGACCTTAAGGGTAAGTAACTGGATCTTACCAGATCAGGTAAAATATATTCTTTGTATTCATGATGCACCATTTTGCACCAGGTTTAATCCTTGGCAATTCCAGTCAAAAACAAATTAGGTGGTAGGTCTTGGAGAGACCTCCCACATTTAAAAGCCAGGTGCTATTTGGAATGGACAGTACTTTGCATATGCATTTCTTATCAATGTATTTTGATAAGTTTTTTTTGAGATGAGAACCGCATCTGAACCTTGCCTTGCGCACTGTGAAACTTGGAGGGCAGCTAAATTCTTATCTGCATATTGGTCCAAGAGGTGCAGACTAGGTCAGTTCCTACTGGAATTCTCAAAGAAGAAATTCCTCAAGAACACACACACACACACACACACACACACAATTTCATACCACACAGTGCTCTACACATACAGTACTAGTAGGTATACAGTTTGCTGAAAAGAATCGTTTTTGAGTTTATCCACATGGATTTTTCTTCTTCTAATTTTCATCTCATTTCTTGATCTAAATGAGAAGCAAGGTTTTTTGTGTTCCGCTAAACCTACAAACAGTTGCCATATATTGTACACATTATATGTACAATATAATGTACATATACACTCCAGGTTACCCAAAGTAACCAGCACATAAATCTCCTTTATTGTAACTTGAATTCATTGATACAAGAGGCAGTTCAGTATGGACAAAACACAAACAGGTTGGAACTACCATATTCTGTGTATAAATCCATTTAATTAACTCTTCTCTAATTCAAGAAGAGTTTTTACATGTGATGAGTTGTTTTCAAAATCCAAGCCTCAGTCTTTTAAAATGAACAAATATAAGAACCTTAGAACTTTTCCACTGGGCTAGACTTTCATGAGTCTCTCTGTCATGAGTCCCCCCCCCCCTCACCAATGTGTGTCCTCTCCTCCAGTGGGTATTTCAGGCCATATAGATATGGCTAAAACTGTTACAGTTGTATTTAGTGTACATAAATTTGGGTATATGTTGAAAGTTGTCTTGATTCATATTTTGCATTTTCCTTCCTAGACTTATATGTTGAGTAAAATAGCTCCCTATTTCTATAACAGACAGTCATTTGTACTACTACTACTACTACTACTACTACTACTACTACTGTATTTATTTATACCCAGCCCATCTGGCTGCGTTTCCCCAGCCACTCTGGGCGGCTCCCAACTGAATATTAAAACACAATACAGCATTAAACACTAAAAACTTCCCTAAACAGGGCTGCCTTCAGATATCTTTTAAAAGTAAGATAGTTGCTTATTGCCTTGACATCTGATGGGAGGGCGTTCCACAGGGCAGGCGCCACTACTGAGAAGAAAATCAAATCAGCAGGCTGTTCTTCTGTGGGCAGCTCTTCCCTCTATCTTTTCACTGGTGCGTGTTTTGCTGTTCGGTTAGGAAACCTAAGAAGAAACACTTTCCAGGGCCAAAGGTGCTGAAGTTGACATGCCCAGAGTTCTCGTTTCAATGTCATGAAAGGTGCTTGGGGAGCCTGCACTCGGCTGCCTCTCCTGGTCTCACACACAAAGCTGCTTTGGCAGGGAAACCACAAATCTCAACAAGTGGATCCAAGAGGGCTTGTTAATGGAAGAGCTGATACATCCTTGGGAGCAATTTGGTGCAACATGGTGCTGTATTGGTCAAAAAGTCACAGTTCCACAAAGCAATAGGCACTGCCGTGTGAAAAGAACATTCAATAATGGGACATTGTTATAGCATTATGATCTGGAAAACAAACGCAATATTCCCCACGTCTGAATACATCCTAAGTGCTGGGCACACTGTGGGTTATATCCTGTGCTGCTGTTCCACTTGCAAAACAGGCATCCCCTTCCTCTCCCCCACAGTCACCCGTTCATGTGGGGAGAGGAGTGTGAGAGGAAGTCCCCTTGAGTGAGCAGAACGCATTGGATGCAACCCCATAACTCCACTGTTTGCCTTAACCTTTTCCTTTGCCTTTTACTTGGTTCCCTCCAGGTGATCTTTACATTGCTGGCCTGGTTCAAGGAATGTACAGCAACCTCCCCAAGTTGGTAGCATCTCGCGATGGGTTTCAAGGCTGCCTGGCATCGGTGGACTTGAACGGGCGCCTGCCAGATCTTATTAACGATGCTCTTCACCGCAGCGGGCAGATTGAGCGCGGATGTGAAGGTACAGCCTACCTAAAATGCCATTCCTTCTCACACAGCCCTCCCTACCTCCATGCTGCTCTTTGCATCACCACCACATATTTCCTCCATAGATGCTCGTTGTGACATTCCTCCTCCATCGCCATCCACATTCAGCCTCCATGATTGTAACCAGCCTGGGTGTGCAAAAGAAATGAGAGGTGACTGTGAAACACTCCATGTTGTAATGTAGCTTTCCTTTTTGGGTACTGTCAGGTGCTGGTGGTGGTTGCTCGTGAGTAACCAGGCAGGACTCCGACCTGTCTTTTACAGGTTTTATTGGTGCAAACTATTTACAGTGCAGAACCACAAAGTTCATGTCCGTCTCAGTCACTTGCAGATTCTGGGAGTGGCCCCTTCCGGTTTCTCCCTCAACATAAGAACTTAGACACCCCAAATCTCCGCCTCCCCGCCTTACTTTTCACCCCTCTGCGCAATCTGGGTGACGGAAATGGTGTGTCTGCCTCACGTCCAGCTGGGCTAGCTGAGATGCTTGGGCTCTCAGTAGCATCTTCAAGCCCTCCCCTCGCTTGCTACCCCCTTCCCCCTCTGCTCCACTGGAGGTGTGGCTTTCCCCACCGTTGGACGAAGGGGCTGCTCCTCAGAAGCATCGGAGGCTCTGTGTATCCCCTGCCTCCCTCTCCTGTTCCGATGGCAGTCCCCTGACATTCATGTTGTGTGTCTCTCCAGAATGGAAGACACACAAACATTTAGGAGGTGCCCAACACAAAAGCAATCCACATAGAAATTGAGGTCATACAACACACATAAACATCAACTGGTGTGTTTTATTTCCCATCATGAAGTAGCAGCAGGTGTGCTGGGGTGGAGCTGTCCTCCTGACATGACATTGCTGCAGCTCACCTGGGTGGTACTGGCTGAAGACAGTGCTGAAGTCAGTACTGTGGAGGCACACCAGCAGAACCAATCCAATCCATGCTCCCACCAGTGTGTCTGCAGAACCCCAACCTTCCCGCTGTCCTGCTCCACTGTTGCACAGGTAAGCTGCAGTGAAGCTGGTTTCTGAAGGGTGGCTCGACCCTCCCATGCTGGCCCCTACTGACACCACTCCAGCTCTGATTAACTGCATGGGTATAGTCATATGCCACAGTCCAGATCTGCACCTGAGCATCAAGCTTTTGATAACCTCCTTAGCAAAGACATTGTCACTCTTTGAGACCAAGTTCTCTTTTACATCACATCCCTGGGACCAATTCAGACATTGTGTCTATTACAGGGCGACAGCTGGAAATGCTTCTGCACTGTGAGTTGGTCAAAGAGAGCAATGACAGGGAGTAAAAGAAAAGAGGTCTTGAACATTTCTTCCCTGATTATTCAGTTTTTCCTACCCATTTAAAGCTCTCTGCATGCCAATATTTTATAATCTGGTATAATCAAAAGTTCTTGAACCCTGCATTGGACTCCACAAGTTGCCATACAGCACACAGTTGCCTTTCATATTCTATAGAGTGCCAAATTATACTTTTTCTGTGTCTCACCATTATTTTACTGGTCTGTTCCTGTATGTTTTGGGTAATCTCCCACTGGCCTTTCTGAGAGTCTGTGGATCCCATGGCCAGGTTAACTGTGTTCCCCACCAGCAGTCTCTCAAATTTTACATGATTTTGGAATAAATGACATACTGCTTTGAGACAGTGTCTTTTTGTGCCGTGTTTTGATATAGAATGGTATAGAAAGAGAAATCTGGGTGATAAGGTTTTTGTGAAAACACTTGTCCTTGAACAGACAAAGGCTTGTGAAGAAGGCAGGTAGGAGAAATCTCTCAATATCAGACAAGAGAAATAGAACATTGCTGCCATTGCTGAGTCCTCAGAAAAAAGAAAATACTCTTTGGGTGACATCCGGTGATGTCAGTCCACTTACACAATGGCCTTCTGCTTGCATAAGTTGAGTTTCCCTTTCTTCTCCCCTACTGCAGTTTCTAGAGTGTTGGGAGACCCCTAAGGGCACATGGGGACTCAGGGATGTGCTGATGGGAGGAGAAAGAAAGGGAAATATAATCATGGCCATTCATGTGATGTTGGGCATTGCTTTTATGTTTAGAAGAGGCCCCCTTTTGCACTTAGGCTTTTTAAACAATCCTTTTAGTGGCTCACAACAGTTTCTTTTGAGAGATGGGTCCCTTTAAGAGTCTTAGAATAGTTTCTGGCTGCTCACAATGAGCGTTTAATATTCTTAAATATATATAATTTTATGGAAGACTCATTACTTAACTTTCTGGCACCAGGAGGACTTCAGATATCCCCCTGGTTGCCCAATTTCCTTTTTAATTGATGTTAACCATATTTAAAAAGACAAGCACAGCTCAAAGCGGCAGAGTTCATAGCTCAGAGGTGGAATGCTTGTTTTTACATATATGAGGTCTCAGGTTCAGTCAGTGACAACTTCAATTCAAAAGTTTCAAGCAGCAACTTTGGGAAAGACCTTTGCCTTGGACCCTCACCACTCAGCACGGATCTGCCTTCTCCAATCTGATGTTTTGAACTACACCTTCCATCAGTCTCAGCCAGCATGGCTAAAATACCTGGAGTGCACCCGGTTGGGGAAGGCGGATGTGAATATAGTGTAGTAGATGGACCATTGATCTGGTTCCGTATATGATTGCTCCTTGTGTTTTTAAGCTCTGCTCAGTAATATGACACTGAATCTTAAAGAATAAAGAGAACAGCTAGTGAAGGTGACAGCATAGATGAGGAAAAATCACCACCTAATGCATAAATTGTCAGATCCAGTACTATGGGGGGAAAGGACATTTTAGAGGAATGTTGTGCATAACCCAGCCTGGGTTTAAATCTTTAGCTGAAAATTTGAGATATAAATTAAGGAAGAACTGAGTTTGTGGATGGTCCTTTGGATTTGAATTCATTGTACAATGCCTTTTTTCAGCAGTTGACACAGAAGCTTTTGGCAGCTACTTCCTTATCCTGTTAAATGTTTGATCAGTGCTTTGCAGGCAGCTCAGATGCTCCTGTAAAGGTATTTTAGCAAAGCCAAGGGCTTTGTTGCATCCAGCTGTGAGGAATCCAAGCCTTAGCTGGTGGTTATCACACAGCCCTTAGGTATTCAGCTGTGGGATGACATAATCGTCACGAGTGGCGTTTAAGGCAGAAAGGCTGTATCAAATCATAACATTCTTGGCATTAGTTATAGAAAAACCTGAGCACTCTCAGCCGCATAAGAAAATGACTTGGTCACAACAGGCACACCATATTAGCAGAAGCGGTTATAGCAAAGAAGATTGCTTGACCAGCAGCTTATTGTAGGAACATAGGAACCTGCCTTATGCAGAATTCATCCAGCCCAATAGTGTCCAAGCCAAATGGTATGAGATTCCAGGATTTCAAATGCACTCTTCCAAGGTCTATGTTTCTTTTTGTGAATGATGCACAGCAGAGACTGTGGTGTCTTTATGATATATATACAACCTGAACCTACAAGGGAGGGGATCAAATTATCACACTCCAAGAGGGTCCTGTTTCTCTCATGACTGGGAGCCCACATTGTGCTCCAACAACCCCTCCCCAGTTCACTGCATTTAGCAGATGGACACTTCCCCTTGCCCTCAAAATCCTAAACCCACTGCTCTCCTTTTATCTCTGTTTACTATCTCAGAGCTCAGGAAGAGGCTTCTCCCACTCTCTGGCTGGCTCAGACTCTTTCCTTTGTTGATAGCCCATCTCTCTGTCCTTGTTCCCTGCTAATGGCCTACCTTCTCCCAGGCAGCTTCCTGCACACGGGAGAAACTGATTGGGCCTATACTTTGACACTGCTAAATTCAGTGCTTGGCAGCCCATCGTAATGCACCAAGCGTTGATTAAACTCCAACGCCCGTTAGACTCAGCACCCATTTGATCCAGAGATTTAGGGGAGTCAACACACCCATAAAAGCAGCATCTACACTGACTAGCAATCATTTTGCAGCTCTACTTGCAAATTTTGGGGATTGAACCTGGGACCAGGCAATGTGGGTGCTTTGCCATTGAGTTGCAGCCCTTCATTTGGGCCCATAGGGGCTGCTGGAATCACTATTTTATCTGGAAACAAGAGGGGGGAAGCTGGACCCATTTCATTTATGTATATACATAAGTATTTTAATAACTTAGATCCTGATTTTTTTCATTGAGATGGGCCCCAGGCATCTCACATAAGTAAAACCAGATAAAAACATCAACTCCCAAAATAAAATACTACAGGTGAAATGCAAAAAAACTATCACAACATAGAAAACCAGCAGGAAATGACAGCAACCATATCTGTTGCTAACAGGAAAGTCTGAAGGAGCTGGATAAGAACAATAAATAATGCACAAAATAGCAACATAATTGGAAGCCACAAGTCAGATATTGCTACTTAAAAACAAACAAAAAACATCTAAATCTCTGCTGGGAAAACCAGATCTTCCTGTCAGAGCAAAACATACGCTGAGAAGAGGCCACATACATGTATCTGGGGAAGGCATGAAACAAATTTGGTGCTAACAAATTTGGCTTGTTCAAGTTAACTATTCCAGAGTTAAGATGCTCAATAAACTTTTTTTTTTGCCCCAGCTGAAAATTCACAAAATGTGCAGACACCACCATGCACAATTGTCCCCATATTGACAAATAGCAGAGAAATTAGAAATCAAATTACAGCAGAACATAGGAAGCTTCCTTATACCAAGTCAGACCACTGGTTCACCTGGCTCAGTATTGAATGCACTGACTGGCAGTGGCTCTCAAGGGGACATTTCCAGTCCTACCTGGAGATGCTGTGGGTTGAACCTGGACCCATCTGCCTACAAAGAAGGTGCTCTGTCATTGAGCTACCAGCTTTCTACCATCCTCAAATTTCTATTTGGAATACTTCAGCAACACAAGAGAAAGTAATATCTTAAAATTCAAGAAAGAACTAACCACCCAGTTAATGCCTGGATCTTTTGAGTTCAGGAACTTTGTGGCTTTTGAGAACACCTCTGTAGAGAAATGAGCACCTTGCATGGATTGTGCTGACATTTGTAGTTGGGGCCCTCGGAAGGAATGGAATCAATCTTCTTGCTGGCAAGAATAATTACTGTACCTTTAAATGGAAGAAGAAAAGCTTAGAAGACGAGATCTTTCTTCTCTTCAAAATAAACAAGAAAGCACCCACCCAGCCCTCCTCTGTTGATCTGACGGGTCAAGTGCAACTTACTGAGTCCATGGACATTGGTTTTAACAGCTGATAATCCCCTAGCAAATGTAGCATTGAATGAAGCCACTTTTAGATGACATCCTGAACAAAAAATGCAATGAACTAAGACTTTCTGTAATGAGTAACTGTGTGTGTGTGTGTGTGTGTGTGTGAGAGAGAGAGAGAGAGAGAGAGAGAGAGAGTGTCCATGTCTGCTGCTTGTTTATGACTTCATTCATATGTCATCCATCATTTGTTGCCATTCCACCATCACTGCCATCTCCATTGTGACCACCCTCCAGTCTTTAATGCACAAACTATACTTTGGCAAATACAGACTGCCCAGAGATATGATTTGTTCTCAGAGCAACAAAGTCATGAGTCACAAAGGGTAGCTATGAGAAACCAACCCCCCATTTTTTACTCAATCATCAGAACCCAACAAAGAACATTGACTTTCTCCAGAACACCACCATTATTGTGCCCAATATTAAATTGTGGATGCAGATATTGATAACACTATATTATCTAAGATATACAGTATATCATGGTGGTGTTGCAGTATTCTCTCATCCTCTCCACTCATGCAAGGTGACTTTCTGAAGCAGGGAGCTTTCCATATCCATGGAAGCTCCCTACATATGTTAGATCCATGATTTTCCAGGGGTTTTAAAATGCACAAAGTCTCTGTGGATACAAAAAGTCCCCCTTATCTTTCACCAGTTGGAAGGTGACTGAAATGGCAATTGCTGAGGAGAGGTGAGAGGCAAAGCTAGTCCACATTGGCCAAGTTGGCTGGGGCTGTTGGGAGTTGGAGTCCAGCAACCTCTGGAGGGAACCATGTTGACTAGATCTTGTGAAAATGCACAGAAGGCTTTTTGAGGATGGAGGACCCCCCCCCCCCCAGTTTTGCAATTTAGATTTAAGAGACCTTAATCTGTTCAGCAGTTGGTCTTGGGTTTGGCTCATAAGAGAATGTATTTTTGACTCTATACCACTGATTTGATCATTGGGCTAAATGGAAAAGGAAGAAGTTATGGAGGTGGGGGGGAATGCTATATTTCTCTCTCATTTTCAAAAGTCCCTTTAAAATATTCATCAATATACTTAATTGTGTTGGTCAAGAGATGGAGAGAGAATAGTTTCAAAGGAGAAGTAATTGCCATTTCAAGGTTTTCATATATCGTCAAAGCAACAAGTTTTTAAGCATTATGAAGATTGCTGTCTATTGGCTGTTAAAAGTGTTAAATGTTACAGTGGTGGAAGGCATGGGAGAAATATTCCTTTGTAGTTACAGTACAAGCAAGGTCCTCTCAGCAGATCCCAATGAGAAGAAGGATCATCTTGGAACAGGTGGTCTTTTTAGTTTCCTGGGCCCAAACTATTTAGGGATTTTAAGGTGATTACCAGAGTGAGATGAGCGCACAACCCTAGAGTCTGTCAAGACTGGCCAGTACGGGCAGGGGTACCTTTACCTTTACCTGCATTTTGAATTGTGCCTGGTTTCAGTTAGGCTCAATTGCAGGGGGGGGGCAGCAGGAATGGAGTCATCTGATGTCAATAATGGGCAGGCACATTAGCACCCTTGAAACTACCAACTTCTTAATACTAAGGGAATATCTCTACATCATAAACTTTTTCATTACACCCAGGAAAAGGTACAGCTGACAGGTGAGCAAAGATCTTCCTAGCGGCAGTTGCCACTTTACCATCTAGGAACAGTGGACAGGGCAATATTCACCTGCATATTCAGTGACCGCCATCATGTTCACTTCCTCCAGAACATAGTGGATTCTGTAAGCAGGAGCCCATAGATGGAGTCATCTTCCACAATTGGTGATTGTGCTATCTTACAAGGGAGAAAACATTGCCATTTACATCGGACTGTCTATCTTGCTTTTAAAATTCAAAGAAATAAAAACCCATAGTGATAAAACCCAGTGAGGAGAGGTGATCTGAGGAAGGAGTCTTTTGTCTTTCTGGGTGTGCATATCACAGAGGGAAATACCCAGATTGGTTCACTGGCAGCCATATTGACTTAATTTGATTCCGATTGACTCTAGGCTTTTCTTGGGGAATAGGGAGGCTCCTTGCAGGAAATGAAACACTATTGTTTGCTGCTTCATTTATGAATATTGGTGAATCATGTGCCATTAATGTTCCATCTGATGTTCTGTGCTTCAGAAATGTGTCTACTCTCCCCCCCTCCCTAGTCTGTGCTATGTTGTCTGCTGTTTTGGATTGATGTTGTTCAGGTAGTGCTGGACTGAGGCCCTTATGGCTGCCTCTCTCCTGATGTGTCTCTGTGTTGTCTTTGGTGGCGTCACCCCTCCCAAATCTCTTAAGTGTGCATAAGGGCTGTGCTGGTTATTCCAGTTGTTTTTTGTTTGTTTCTTTTTAGTGATGTTACCCCGGTTTTATCTGCCATTTTACTAACCTCTGGTTTATTGTTTTCGCTTTTTTCCATTCTTTTGCTAACAAAGTTGAGTTGACCAAAGCTGACCTGCAAGGTAGAGAAGGTTTTTGTTTCCATTGCCAGTTTGGACTGAAAGATGCCTTTTAATGTAACCTTTAGAGCCTTTTAATTATTATTATTATTATTATTATTATTATTATTATTATTATTATTATTCTTTGATGCAGTCACATCTCTAAGCCAAATGGGTACAGCAAGCATTCCACAACCTGCTAGGTTGGAGAATGGGGTGGCAAGGATTTGGGGGAGAAATGTCTAGGTATGGTTTGGGGTAGCTTAAGAGGTTTGACTGTATCTCATTCTAAGAGTATCCATAACTGCACAGCTTGATTTCCTGAAATAAGGAGTTAACATAACAAAATATGGCACTGGATGTCTGGTTACTGAAATAAAAATGTGACTCAGTCCTTTGGAGGACTGAGAAGTTTATAGTCCAGTCTATACTGTAGAGAAGTGGGTGAAATGTGACCTCTTTGTGCTGTTCCATGCATTAGATCAGCTTTCAACAGTCTGGTGCCCTCCAGACATTTTGAACTACACCTCCCAGACAGCCTGGGGCTGATGGGAGGTGTAGTACAAAATATTTAGAGGGCAGCAGGATGGCAAAGTCTGCATTGGATGAAATAGCCATTGGCAGGCACTGTTAAAAGTTTGTGTCCAGCTTCTTAAAGAGGAACCTAGTGGTGTCCTACAGACCAGTTATCAATGCATGTTGGGTAACAAAGACACTGAAGGTTGTGGATGGGGGAAAGTCCAAAGTTGAAGAGTAGAATGGATTGCAGGAGACTGGAGCTGGGCAAGATGGATTTCATTAACTAAAATCAGAGGAAAAGCCAAGTAAAGAAGGTAATTTAATGTTGGTGGCTAGTGAATGAAGCCAAAAGTTGTTCCTAATATGTTTAAATGCTAACACCAGAAACCTTCTGTAATTGCTGTGCTGAGATGGTAAGCACAATCAAAAACTGGGTTTCTTCTGTTGGAATGGGTTTTGGAAAAACTTAAGGATAAGGGTGGGAAGGGCAAGTTTTTCATGTTCACCTAAGATTTTCATTAAGACTCTCCTGGGGTGCATCAAACATATTTTCTCTAGATAATGTTATTTGGGATTGTGGAGAACAAAACACACATGAAGACTGGCAAGTGTGAAGATTCCTGTGTATGTATTGAAACCAAAAAGCATAATTTAGATTATACTTGACCTTATCCAGTTACCATTTTGATTAAGATGACACAAAAGTCTAGACAACTAACAATTTTCCAGGAAGAGTCAGGGGGGGATGTACAGCAAAAAAAAATTGCAATATAAGGAAACCCAAGAGGTGCAATGATGGAAGTGATTAAATCTAATATGCTAAAATAATTTTTAAACCAAAGATGAAGCAGGATAATAATCATAAAATGCAACAAAATTATTACTATTACTAATAATTATACACTGCTTTGTCGAAGCAGTTGACAGGGAGTTAAGACAATAAAATCAAGAAAAAATACAATCCTACTAAATGATGGAGAAAAAGAGAGAGATATTGGGATGCCAAGAAGGCCCTCATGATGTTGAAAAGGACTGTCAAAGAAAAGAATCTCTTTCATTTCCCTGGTTCCAACATAATGAGTGATGCTGCTAACATGAAAGTAACAGATTCCAAGAAATACATATTTGGTTTTGGGACATGTGCCAAGAAGCCACTTTTGGCCAGATTCCCAGATTTTCCCATCTCGTGTCCGTGTAATGATTTATCTGTTTGGGGTGGACATAGATAATGATCTACACACAGGCTATATTCTATTTCCGATGTGTAAGTATGTTCTGAAATGAGTATTGCATCAGGTAGTCCTCAGAGTTGCAACTTGACCTAATTGGCCAGTTACGGCTGAGCTGATATATAGGCTTGACATTCAAAAACTCTACACAATACCTGCTGTCAAGACCACTGCCCTTCAGAGCATTTACAAATTTCCATTAGGCTGTTTTAGGACCCTCACCTCTTTCCTATAAAATAGAGGAAATGTTTTTCTTCTTCTTCTGAGTCGTTCTGAGTGCCAGACAGTGTCATGCAGAGGTACCTTAATTTCAGGAAACCAATCTTTGCTGTATAGGTTTGGATATCTGAGTCCACGTGGAAACTTGAAACTCCCTTGAGATCTGAGGGGCTGTTTTCTGTGCTGCTGTGACCTGGACGATGGGGAGGTCTGGTGGAGAAAGACTTGCCCACTATACCTTTCTAACACTCCTCATTTTAATCTCCTTCCTTCCTTCCTTCCTTCCTTCCTTCCTTCCTTCCTTCCTTCCTTCCTTCCGTTTCCACTTCTGATGAGTGTTGTACACATCTCCTTTTTCTCACACACTTAACTCCCCTCTTTGCTTTCCTTGCAATTATAAGATCCAGACATATTCCCTTTTATGCGGTTCACTTTGCCATGGGAGGGGCATCCCGGCTTACTCATCCTTTTAGAGGCATGGCCTATGCAAAACTGTTATTGAGTGTTGTGAGGGGGAAAGGAGCAGAAAAGGCAGGTATGTATCATTTTGTTGAATAGAGGGAGAAATCTGAAGTTTTATCTGGGGAGTCATAACTAGACATTTCGAAACAAACACCTTTAGTCTCATCTACACACCTGAGGACAGCCTGATTTTGATATATGCTCATAAGCTTGTATAATGACCTGCCTCATTCTATTCTTGCTTATTTGGAAGTCAAACCACCAAGTTTGAATGCTGAAAAATACAAGTGGGATCTGGAATTACCTTCCCTTACAGAGGTGTTCCTTTTAGGTCTTCTTTCTCCTTCTTGAGTCCAACCAGCCAGGAGTCACATTTTGGCTGACAACACAGTTCTGTGTGCTGCCCAGATCTGAGTGTGTTATGATGTCATTGAGGGCAAAAAACCACTGAATTTGAATTATGGCACTACTTTTTTGGACCAGTCACATTTATTTCTTAACAAAATGTATATATGACTTGATTGTAATAAAATCTCTTAAGTGATTTTCAAGAAACAATAAAATTATCAATAAAAAACTATTAAAACATTTAAAGATAATTAGAAATTTATGTGCCACTTGGGTGCGCCAGTTTTTGACTCTGCATAGGGCGCCATATTACGAAAGGTTACCAAAATCCTCCCCTGATCACAGCATTATGTAGCAAATAAGTTCTGGGTATCTGCTAATTTTACTCAAGGCAAACAAAGCCGGTTAAGAGCAAGGGCAGTGTTTCCTGAACAGATAAATATTTCCATCCCGTTTTATAGAAATGCCCCCGTCCAACAAAGAAAATGGGCTTTAAGTTATATAGTAAGTGTTAATTAAAACCCCCAAACCTTTTAGTTTGCCTCGGCCCTGTCCATCAATGTTTGCATCTTTGGTCAACCAAAGGCATGGACTTAACTTTCCTTATCTGTTGGAAGACACTTCCTTCCTCCTTATCACATTGCATAACAATCAAGTGCACTCATGGAATGCTGAGTCACGCTCCCAGGGGTGGAGGGAGGGAGCGGTGGGTGTGGACCGCCCCGTGTGTCACCACTGAGGGGGGTGACAAAATGCCGGGCAGCACTCACCACTGGGCTTGCAGCGTGCCTGAGCCACACATCTCTCCTGGGAGAGACACGGTGGCTTGGGCGTGCACAGACTCCGCACGGCCCAAACGGTCCTCCCGCTGCCTCACTCCCCCCAGCTGTGGGGCGGCTGAGTGGGAGGAGGTAGGCAGACTCTGGAGGCCCTGCAGTGCACCCCACCCCTATGGGCGGCTCGCCCCACCCCTGAGCGCGCTGCCCTAGGTGCCCTAGTGGCCGCCTCCGCCACTACATGCTCCATCCCTATTATTTACATTTTCTCAATCTTTAGAAAGTGCACGGGACACCATATTTTTAAAGGGTTGCATCCATTGATATGAGAGTGGAAAGTGAGTTTGTGCAATGGATCTTTCCCTTACCCTTCTCTCTCCTTTCAACACACACTACCTCCCAAAAAGCTTCTCCCTTCAGAGATCAAGGTGGGTACTGACCAAATATTGTGCACTGTGTGATCCATGCCTGCCATGAGGCAGAGGGGAAAGGCCAAAATCAGGTGGAGGAACTCCGCCCTCTTTTAGACAATTTCCCCTAAACACACATTGGAGACCTAGAAGACACAGCTCACTATGCGGGTCTGCTTCACCTTTTGGAGAGGCTTTTTTTTGGGGGGGGTGCTGCTGCTGAGGGATGAGGTAAAGACAACAATCCACTGAACAAGCTACCTTCCTCTTGTGCAATTTTGAAAACAGCCTATACCTGTAGAAGAGGTAACAATGAATAGGTGAGGCTTTTCTGGGCCAGGAGAGGGAGTAACAGAAAAAGTTTCATTTGCTGATTTGGGTTGATAACATACCAATTAATGCGCAGAGTCACTTCTCCTATCAAGCACACATACTTTCGTAGGGATAATCGGTATAGACCAACAACTGTGCAGTAAATGCCAGTTATTCTAGGCTGACAATCTTTCACTGGTTATTATTTTCTACTTCATTTGTGTTGGGGGGGAGGCTTCTAGAGAGCCAGTTCGTTTTTCCTAAAATGTGAAAGAAAATCCCCTTAAACAGAAAGAAAGAGATTTGGAGGCAGAGGTGAGGGAGAGAGATTGGTTGGATGGATTTAAATGATAACAACCAAACACTCTTTTCATAATTTAAAACCTATAAACAGACTCATCTGAGATCTATACCGGTGATTGCACAATTAAGCGTTAAGATTTTAAAGCTTTATTAAGCAGGCAGGATCTTGTTAAATGGCACCAGAAATGCCATGAATAGAAATGAAGCATATGACACCTTGTGGAGAGCTTGAGAAAGATGTTACTCAGTGCCAATTCTCATTCCCTGTGCACATAAATTATGTATCCTATCTCCATTGCTTCTGCCCTCAGCTGTTACTTGAAGGGTCATGTGCATGCAAACAGACTTCTTTGGCATTTAAAGCCCTGGTGGGCTCCTCTTGCTTTCTCCTCCATGATCCTCATTCCCTGTGACACCCCCCTTGCCATGGCCAAGATTCTAGTGTCACAGGCAGGGGAATTATGACATCAGCGAGGAACAGAAATAGCAAGAAGAATTCTCCACAAGACCGGTCTCTAGTCCTCATGTGAAACTTCCTTGGGGAATGCCAAAGAGGTGAAGCGAGCACAATGATCCAGAAGCTCAACTTCTGTCCATCAAACAGGCTGTAACTAAATAAAGCTCAGCCAGTTTGTATTTCCTGTTGGAAGTTAAAAGGCTCCAGCATTAGAAAGGTGGCTCTGACCCATCTTGTAGCCCCTGGGACGGGGAAAAAAAATGAAAACCCACTGTTTATTTCCCGCTGTTTATTGCTGAACCAGAGCAAACAAGAATTGAGTTTTCTGTGGATTGGCCATTTGTTCCAATTCAGTGGTAAACGGTGGGTTTTTGCTAGGGAAAGCTGCAGGACCTGTGCCTAGATTCCTCAGAAGAAATTACAGGACAAAGGGTGGTGTGGATGAGCCCTCATTTAGATTCACTTATTTCAGGCTTCCTCAAACTCAGCCCTCCAGATGTTTTTGGCCTACGACTCCCATGATCCCTAGCTAACAGGACCAGTGGTCAAGGATGATGGGAGTTGTAGTCTCAAAACATCTGGAGGGCCGAGTTTGAGGAAGCCGGACTTATTTCAATGGGTTTTCTCTGAGAAGAATTTAGTTGAGGTGAACCAGCTGACAATAGTTGCTACTACTTAATTAAATTATGCATCCAGCTCCTTAAATAAAATAAAGGCCATGTGGATTTAATTTTAAGTTTGCAGAGTTGGTGTATTAAAGTGCTATGTTTTCCTAGCATAACAGATACACTTAAATCAGAACAAAAGCTCAACAGAGACCTAACACAGTTCAACCTCTGCATAAGCTTTGCACAAGCAAATTAGGATGAATGATCCATAAACAGGTTGCTTGGAGAAGCCCGTAGTTCATATGAGCTTATGCCATCTTTACTCCCTAGCCCACCTCACATAATCCTCCCTTAAATCCCATTGAGTTGTGAAATTATAACTCTCAAGGTACTAGAAGGAAAGCTGTTCTAGTGGGATGAATCTGAGGTGGAGTCTCATTTAGCTTATCTTTGGACACTGCTTCCTCTTGGTCATTGGTGCCAGTGTGTATGAATGTGGCAGTTAACTCCCTAGTAGAGGAGCCATGGAGAAAATGCTCATGTCAATAGAATCCAGCCAGAGAATACCTGCTTTGAGTTCAATCAAACAAAGTATTCCCCCATAAAAGAGAAATAGGTGTGTTGTTTGCGAAAAGCGGCAAGAGGGTAAAATCCAAAAGCTGCTTCTCCTGTAAGCCTGGAGCCTCCTTTTTTTGCTGCTGTCATAGCCCATCTCCTTAGATGAAATCACTCACGGGCACTGTGTTTGTAAGATGGTAGCACTGCTGTTGCAGCTGGGCAGATGGTAGCACTGCTGTTGCCTGCAGGTGTTCCTGAGGCTTGTTACACAGCAGCTCAAATCCTGACAGAAGCTCTGGGTTTGTATCTCCCCCTGCCCCTGGTATGTGAATATCCTGAACCACTCCCATCCTGCTGATGCCACTCAGGCCAGCCTGCTGCCTGTCTAAACAGAGGGATGCAAGCTAGATAGCCATACACAGAGAGGCTTAAAGTGAAACCAGTCGTGTTTCCCAGGCACCTTACATGCAAAAGGCTGATGTTTTCAAGCACAGCAGGACAACATGTTTCCCATTTTTGTTGCTTTGCTATGCGGTTGCTTTGAAGTGATGCCCTCGAGGAACACTGGAACATAGGGAGCTGTCTTATATTGTGTCAGAGCCTTCACCCATCCAGTTTAGTATTCACTACAGTGACTAGCAGCTTCAGGAAGGAAATTGTCCACAGCCATACCTGGAGATGCTGGGGCTTGAACCTGGAACCTGGCATATATTCTATCATCGAGCTATGGCTTTTTCTGGGCTGGGGGGACAAAAGGCATCCCCTTGTGAAGCAGACTTAGCTAAAGAGGGTCCCTTGTGGGGTGGACTTTTTCATGTGGGGCACCTCTTCAAAGGAGGGGTAAACTCTGAAGTATCCCTCAGTTTGGATTTTAATACAATTTTAATCAGGTTCGCCTCTTTTTTGAGGGGACATTCCTGAACACCCCCCCAAAAAAGAACTTGTTATTGGGCCTTAGCCCATTGAACTTCACGCTAGCATTGTTGCTGTTCAGTGGAGTCAGTTTACCCAATGAGCTGTCAGGTGTCAAATGAAAAATAGTCAAGTGGTTTTACTTGCATGTGTGAACCAGGTGAGGGGTTAGGCCTCGGAAGTCAGGTTTAGTTTTCCTCACCACTGTCGGAACTCCTCTGCTTCTTCACAGCCCTGTAAGAAGCAGAAAGTCAACCAGCAAAGTTCATCTCATTGTCCCATCTGAACTCATCACTTGATGAATTTTCTTTGCCCTTGGCTGAAGAATAGTTTGCACAGGGGAAAGGATGGATCAAATGCCAGGAACTGAGATCCAGTAAAGGAGGCAAGTCCCTGCTTCCCGCTGCAGCCCCTTGCTTATTACAGCATCTTCCAGAGGGTACCTCAACTCCACAGAGCAGATTCTCAGGAGGTATGGGGGGGGAGGAGTTGACTAAAACTGCCTCCCTCAGAACTGGTGAAAGTTTCCTCTGCCATTCCTCCGGAGAAAGTGTCCCCCAAGAAGAATTCCACTCACTGGAACTGTGGATCCAGCCCATTAAGCTCTGCTGCACCTGCTTTTGTTTCAGCATTTTCTTGGTCAGTAGTATACCAGATGAATCCCTCTACTGTTCCTTTGATGGATATAAGAGCATTGTTGAAAATACAGAAGTGTAAACTGCTGGGTGTTTTTCTTCTTCATTAGTTGATCCAAAATGCAACTCTCTGTTGTTGGTCATAAGGGAGAGTTCATTTTTTCCTAGTCTTTCAGATCTGCTGAGTTAGGTAAAATAGCAAGACAAACTGTTTTGTGCATGGCAGATCTCACCTCCTTCCACAACAGTGAAGGAGGAAAAAATCCCTTTGATGGATGAATCCCAGAGGATGCTGTTAATTCATTACACCCAGATGGTTCAGTGGCTTGGACCAAGTCAAAAAGTGTGTTACTCATCCTGAAATCTCCAGTTTTTGCTATTGTATTTAAGGGAGAGGAAGTGAAGCACAGTATTAAATAATAATGGGGAATTAACTTGATCTCCTATGGCAAATGAGCATAAAATCAGTGGTTCCTACCTGCAGTCTGCAACTGGATCCTCAAAAAATGAGTGCACCCCCTTTGTTTCCTATGCAGTTCTGCCTCTGGGTGAACTAACCCAATCACTAATCCCAATTTTTGTTTCTCATATTTCTGGTGATGAAAATAAATTGCATTGATACAAAGGGTCAAGAGTCAGGGTCAAAGGCACCAACAAAGAGCAGGAGCTGACACTGTACCAGATCCTACCAAACATTTTCCGTTCAAAGACCAGCTGATAGGTCTTTGGATAAAGTGGACACTTACTAGAGAAATGAACTGTCAGTTCCCTTCTCCCTTTCCAACCTACATTGAAGCAATGATTGGGAGTCCCAAACGACATCCCATCCTTGATGAAAAGCAATCATGAGGAGGCAAGTAATAGACAACTTGGAGAATCAGGCTGCATTGTTGAGAGAACTAGGATGATTATGGTGAATCTTGGCATGGTGGGGGAGGCAAACTTCAGTTATTATAAGCATTTCTTCTGAGCCTGCCTAAGAGGGAATATGCTACCTTCCACACCTTCTTTCTGCTGTGTGCCACAGTTTTCTGTTTGTTGCTGAGTGTGCAATTCTCCATGTCTTCTGTGTGTCCTGGATTTCTGTTGCATGTCCATGAAATAGGAAAAGAAAGTGTTTGGTTTCCTTTTCTTCTTTGGTGCATGACGACAATAAATAATGGTCTCGTATTATGACTCTTTTCCAATCGCTGGTCTTTCTTTCTTGCTTTCCTCACTATCCCATCTCAGGACCAAGCACCACTTGCCAAGAAGACTCCTGTGCCAACCAAGGCATCTGCATCCAGCAATGGGAAGGCTTCATTTGTGACTGTTCCATGACTTCCTACTCTGGGAACCAGTGCAATGATCGTGAGTACCAGCTTTTTATATGGGATTTTGCAAGGACCTAGAAGGCATTTGATGTCTGGCTTGGTAGCTTAATACTGGGTGTGAATCCTAATGTCGGAGCTGCCTCATCATCTTGCTAGGCAACTAGCTTTAAAAGCTAGATTACTTGAAGAAAGAGTAGGATAATTATTTTCCCTTTGATCTAATATGAAAGTGCTTGAGTGCATTCTGTTTTCATATTTAAAGACAAATGAAATGAAAGGGGGCTATTGATGTTCTTTTTATAGCATCCAGATGGAACTGTGTGTGCTAGACAGTAATCAGAGTTTTACTAAATGAAGTGCATTAACTTCTTAAAAGTTTTCCAGCCACAGTGTCCGGTGCTTAGTCTTGTCTTAAGTGGCTGCAAAAGCTGAAAAGGTATCAAATTGAACTCTTGGAGGCTTTTTGATTCTGCAAATGATGTTCACAATTTCCTGTTGGTGATTGTGTGCTAAGGTGTCACTTGTTGGTAGACTTTGGCAGTAGTAGCCAGTGTGGTCGATATGCACTGTGGAACTGCTCCCCTGACACCAGCATCAGTGAAACTGTCATAGACAGTGTTGGAGTGATGGGCAGTTTGGATGCTCTGGTGGGAGTGCCTGTTTAGCTTCACCAGTGCATCTCTGCAGCCATGACCTGGTCCCTTCCCTTCCCTGCTCCAGTACCATCCAGGCAAGCTGCAGTGATGCTGGAGTTGGGAGGGTGGCTCCATGGTGCTGTTGCTACTGGACTTTGGCCCTGTGTTCATGTTCATCTTTGACATGATAAAGTCACTGTGAAATGGATCTTCTGACTGCCCTTCCGTATAATGAGAATGAGTTTAGCATGTCCTGGAGATCCACTGAAAGCTAAACTCTCACCACAGAACTCATAATGGCATTTAGAAGATGTATTCTTCAAGCAAAAATGACACATTAAAATCACCTTGTGGTGACTTTACCACATTAATGTTTAAGATGAGAACTGGGTGTTTCATGAGCCTACAAGGATATATTCATCCTTTAGTCATTCAAATCTTGCTTTCAATTTGGTCACTCCAACTGATATGGAGCACTACCTTTATCTAGTGTTAATGTGGGGAAACCCAAGGTGTGTGTGGGGAAATCATTGGGAGAGCAGGAATTTGATGCTGATCCACACATGCAGCAGACATGTGTGACACACTTTCCCCCTTGGGTGATACCATTTGGACTGCACATGAGATATCATTTGTTTGGATGCATTTCTTCTGCACCCTATCAAAAGAAATAAAAAAAAATTGCTTCACACATGTCAAAAATTGGCACATCAGAGAGAAACTTGGCCAGGAATTATTTTTCCTCATAAGCTAGTTTTCTATGCACACACATGTGTTGCCTGCATTGGTGAAAATTAAAACTTGCAATCTTCCAGCTGCTCTGTGGCATGTGAATTGATGCATGTATAGATAGCTAGTTCTAAAATCCCAATCAAATGCAGTGCAGCCAGATGTATATCAATAGGCACAGAATTATTCCCACTTTTGTCTTTTATGCAGAGATTCACAGCTCAATCATAGTTAGTAAATATGCCCTAAGCTCTGTCTGGAAACAGATGCCTTTTCTGGCTGTCCTCTTCCTTTCCCTTCCCCTAAATTTGTTTTGTTTTGTTGTTTTAGCATGGCACTTATCTGCCCCACAGTGCCCCGTGAGACACACTTCTTTGTCAGTCATAGGGATGCTTCTTAGGAAACCACTTTACACAGAAAATGCAACCCTAGGACCTGTGAAGCTGCATTTAAATAAGTGTTGTGGAGTGATCTAAAAGGGTTAGTGACATCATGCCCTTTCTGGGTTCTAATGAATTGGGCCACATGATTCCAAAGCACTATAGAACCCATTGGCACTAATGAATTCAGACAGACTTCAAATTGTCAACAAGTTCATTCTGAGTCTGTAATTAGAACTTCCTTAGTGTTCAGGAATCAACCGATAGGGTGTCATATAGGGCAATTGGAGGGCAGATTGATGTGAGTGAAAGTGACTCTTCGTGGGGCTTCTTCTGATCCTTAAAATGTGCATCATAAGACACATGTTATGTATGCAGGCATCATGTAGGGAGGGCTGTAAGCATGCCTGTTTTCCAGAGAAGGCACTAAAAAGACTATAAAGAAAATGTCACAGAAAAATGCTGGAAGGCACTGAAGTCCTTTATATTGGCCCTCCTGGCTGAGGTCATCAAAGACCTGATTCTGAAGAAAGGCTCCTGTCTTTAAAGAGCAATGTGTCAAATGTGGCCCCACTCATACAAGGAAAAGCAGATTTGAATTGTCAACAGCCAGGTGTCTCTTGCATTCTTGTGCTGGTGTTTTAGAAGTGGTTGTGGTAGGAGGATGTCTCCAAAAAGAAGCGAGAAAGGTAAGTTCACAATGATCGCTCTAAACCTGTCGTGCTGAGATCTGCAAAAGGTATGTCCTTGGTTGTGTTATGCTTGCAAATGATTGTTTGGGACTGGACTTTATTGCAATGGCAGATTTTGTTCTCACAGTTCTCCAACACACTCTGGGGTGGCTAGCATCTTTCCAATAATGTTGCACAAGTTCCTTGCTGTCCTGAGTGCCAGTGTGATCCAGATGCTAACAGGGGTGTCTGTATTGTTAATTCGGCCAGAGTGGAAATGCTGTGCAAACACAGCTGGCAAGTAATGTATTGTCAGGTAATTTAGGTCACAAAGGTTCTCATGTGTCCACAATAGGTCGTAAGATGATATAATATTGTGAGAAACTTCATAGTGCAGAAATGGATCCTTGTAAACTAGGCAGCCAAACCTCATGGAGCCATCCAGCATAGTTGGTGATATTTTGTTCCATTTAGGGGCTTAGTATATTACATCTCCCTTCTCCTTCTCCCCTCACTCACATGTCTGAACTGCTGCCATGGAACAATTGCTCTGGCCTCTATGGTCAGAGATGCTTTGGTTTACTGCTGCAGTTTTCCTGACCTTGGAAGTTTCTGCAAGTGTCACCAGCACCCTTTTAATCCTTCTTCCATGTGTGAGTCCAGAAGGAGAAAGGCAGAAGAAATGAAGTAGCAACAGGTAGCATGTGGATTAGCCCTGGGACATTAGCCAAAGTATAGTCTATCTAGGTACCCTTGGCACAATTAGCTGCAACTTGCCCAATATCCCATTTAGTGCAAAGACCAATGAAGTGTTGATTTGTGGCTTTATTGATGTGATGTGACATGAGATGTGTATTGGCTCGAGGAAAGCTTTTGTCTAATTTCACTGTTGATCCAGTGTGTGTTCTACATTACTTACTGATGCAAGTAAGTTATGAATATTTAAATAAAACTACTTAGAAATGGCAGTTAGCTCACAGATGGATATGCCGTTTTTCTTCCCGTTGGCTATGACCATGTGGAGGCCTTTTAAAAACCACTCTTGCACCAATGACCAGGAGTTCCTGGCTTGCAGCAGATCAGTCACCTGCAAGGGGCTCATGTGTAAACAGCAAAACACCAAACAGATGTCTGTTGCTACACCTGTCAGGTGGTCATTGATTAGTTTTCCTTCGTTTTTGTTGTCTCTGTGTATGTTCAAATTATAGGTTGCAATACATTATTGATTGGTATTGTTAAAACAGGTTTTTCGCTCAGCCAACAGGAAAAACAAATTGCGCCTCTCTCTTGAATGTGTGTCCACATACACTTCTAAGCTAGATTCCTTAATGTTAACTTTGTGGTGGGGTTGCGATGCCTGCATTTTCAGTTCCCATGTTGCATTGGTAATGTCTGACGTTCTGCATCCCAAGGGTTATCCAAATGGGTCAGCTTTGCCTCCTTTTCGAACTGAGAAGGTGAATGTTCATAATTGTACCTGTTGCTATCGGGGCCAATTACGTTGTGCCTGGGTGGGGTGGCCTCTGCAATTTTATTGCCAGTGCACTTGATTTGCTTTAGCAAAAGCCCCCTTTTTGCCACTGTTTAATTACCACTCATTTATTTCTAATGTGCTCAATTTGTTACCTTACAGTTCAAAACAATATGCATAAAAGGGGTATGGGGTGCAGGAAATAAATCCACATGTATCATTAGCTGTTGATGAATAAACTTGTAAGCTGCTAATTTTTACCTGGTAGTAGTCTTCAGTGCTGTTTGCAAAGTCAGTGGAAAGACTTGGTATGTATATTTGAAAGAGATATAATTCAAATTATGCAAATTGTAGCTCAGGAGACCTATCCTACTCTCTTCAATCTTGTTTGCTTCACACTCACTGTCTGTACCTCTGTTTTCACCAATCTGTGCCATCCCTGCAATCCTTGAAAAATGTTCTATCCCCATCCCTCTACTACTACTCTGCATTCTACCTAGAAAAGAAACAAAAGTTAAAATGCGGCATGGCTTTTATAGATCCCAGGAGCAATATTGGAAGTGGCCTTTTGCTTCATATTCCCACTGGCTTTCATTCCCTTTCTCACATCCCAAGTCTTCGCAGCAGCCTTCATACAGAAGTGCGCTTTTGGTTTTTTGTAGCATCACATGCCAAACAAGATATGTCTTCCATTGTGGAAACTGTCCAAGGAGCTTTTAGGTTCCTCTCAGCAAGCACCGAAACACCTCTCAGCAACTGCAAAGCATCAGGCTGGGATGCAGACCAAGAGCTTGTATGGAAGCATGTCCGCCTGACATACTGTTTTGTGTACTCCTCAGGGATACTGAATTAGCCCTGAAAATAATGAGAATCAACGTCAGAAGAGTTGGTTTCCAAATGTTTTCCGTCAGGTGTCCACAGAGAAACCCGAGGGGAGCTCTCTAGAGCAGAGATGGGGGAACACATTTCTTCGTGGGCAATTTTCTAGGCGCCGCATGCCATGGAGTGGCCAGAGGCAGAGGTGAATGTTAGTGAAGCAGCAGCTGCTTACATTTGTCCAGTAGTCTGTATCTGAGCTATGCAAAAGTCAGAGGTTTTGACATATACCCCACACATCGGTGTAAGTGAGAGGCATTATCACAGCTGAATGACAGGTTCCAGACAGGCAAAGGTGCTTGAAAAAGCATGAAAAATGGCTGTTCAGGGACCTGGCCTTAAAGACAAGGGGTGTTTCCTGGAAGAGCCCTGAGGTCCAAATAGAGGCCTCATTTGCCCCCCCCCCAGGCCTGATATTCCCTATCAGTGTTCTAAAGGATATCCTCCTCCTCCCTCTCACCTGTTCTCCTCATGGTACTAAGGCCCTATCTATGTTTCAAATGTATATTAGCTGTATATTTGCCAGATTTGAAGAACTCTGGATTTGTTTGGTGCTGAGAATTCTTTGTTACAGACTCTTTGCCCCTCTTGCAGAACTACAGTTTCTCAGGTTCCCTGGAGAAGAGAATGAGTTTGAAATCAGTTTAAGTCTGTGGCATGAATATCCCCCGAGAGTCAGACTAAAGAGAGATACTTCCAAAGACACAGGAGGAATTGATTAATTTTAGGCTTTTCTTGTCTGCTCTGAATCTACACTCCTCATAGCCCATGTGTAGAAAGGAAGTTCCATTGAAATTATGATGACTTGAAGGGGGTTGTTTGTATTTTAGAATGAATGAGGAGCATTCTGTGAACCCATCTGCCCAACACAGCTAAGCTGGAGCTGGGGGTGTGGGGGACACA